GTGTGTGTGTGTGTGTGTGTGTGTTACTCCTTGGTCAATTATGGGCATTTTACGAAATTTTTATTTTTACTTTCCCTGTTACACTAGTATTTTATCCTGCGTCCTGATCATTGAGGTGTTACTCTTCGTTTAATTTTACTGATTCTCGATGGCCTCCATAGCGAAAGTCCAAGCTTCTAGCCTCACAGACGGATATATTTTCCAGCTGTTCACCCAGACATATCAACAGATTTGGAGAGTGGAGCATATTATTGTCACTCTCCGCCATTCTTTTAGAACGAGGGAAAAGCTTTTTGGAAAACTGCCGTAACTTTATTTATTTCCTCGTGGAAGATTTTTCTGACAAATGTTTTGGGTAATTTTTACTTTTCCTTGTCCTGTTAAAAGGTAGTTGGTATTGAGTTTTATGTGTCAGTGTATACACATACGTTTAGTTGTATTTGTGGGAGTTGATGTCTAGCTCACGAGCCCTGCATTTTCACATCATTTAGCCGTTCGGCACTGGCTTTGTTGATGTGAGTGTGACAGTGCTGCTGTCAGCGTGATGCAAACTGTTGATGCAAGTGTGGCGCAGCTTGTTACGAGCGGTACGCAGCTTGTGTTGATGTTAATGTGACGCAGATTCGTATTGATGTGAAAAGCTTCTAAATCGCACATAATTTACAGCGCCTGACAGCAATAATTAACTGTATTTGCTTGTTTACAGCAGTGGATGACTGTAGATTAGTAAGAGGACACACAATAAAAGGAGACCTTTATTAACACGACGTTTCACCCGCACGAGGCCTCGTATAGGGGAAATGTCGTTCTATTGAAGATCTCCTTTTGTTGTCTATGTCTTTTTACCACCTCTCGGATATTTCATACTGCAGCAAATGAAGACCTATATACTGGAGATAAATTGTAAGTCTATATCATAACGTTATGATGCTCATATACTGTACAACAGAAGTTGATAAATAAGGTACCAATTAAAGGATTAGTCTAGTAAAAAAAATTATAATTATAACCATAATTTTAAAGGGGTTGACCGGTAAACCAGTGGAAGGCCTCGGTCAGATGACCTACGCTCCAGCAGTCAGGAAACACTTGTCCTGTTTCCTGACAAATCTTGCCTAACCTAACGAGGGTAATGTGACGCATTCCCAGGGTAGCAGATGAAAATGATGATTCAAATAAGCTTGGTAGCTATGATGCTATATAATCATTATGATGAACAGTGTACCATATGATTAAACAAAATGGTGAACAAGGATCCGAACCACGGCCTGCAGACTGACAGCCCGACGCTCCGTTGATTTAGGTACCCAGGGCCCCTTAATAAGAAAGATTTTTTTCCTCTTAAAGCCCTAAGTAGCTCGATCAGTAGACCATCGGACTGTCAATCTGCAGACAGAGGTTCGCCTCCCTGTCCACCACTCTATTTATTGACTGTTGTTCATTACATTTTTCCACATGATTTAGAAATTAAATTTATCTCCCACGTCCTTAAGAGTCGCAAGGAATTAACTTTTTACTTAGGAACATGAAAGTTACTCTTTCAGGTAGGTATTATATATTAAATAACGCGTCCGTCGTGAAACTTATTTTGGTGATGGTATAGGCCAATGAAGTTACTGATGTTTATTCGAAATGACGATGTTGTCATGTCGCACCTCATGAGACCGGAGTTTAATTATTGAATGAAATAATTACCACATTAGTAAAGATCAAGTTGTTAATGATAGCTCCAGACTGCTAGGTTTAATTACTTCACTGGTTTAATCGCTGTATAATTATTCAACGAGTGAAGGTTCAGGTTTTCTTCATGCACAGCTCCTGCGGTCCAGATTCGAGTCATCACAGATAAGAAAATAGAATTCTCTCTTCGGAACCTCGATACTGGTTGATGGGTGTCCCACTGGCCTTGGCTGGGCCCATGAAGGCAGCGGTGGGTGACAGGTGAAGGTGTAACTCTTGGGCACACGACGAGGGTGGGTTGGAGGCTCAGTGGGTGACAAGCGGGTGTGTGAGGATGAAGTGGCTCATTAGCAGTGCCAAGGGTAGTGCTATTGCCAGTGCCAAGGACCCACGGAGGGACGAACACCCGTCCACCGCTCGGGGTTGGATGGCTGCGATCTTGTTTGCTGCTCCAGGGTGGAAGGGAGAAGAAGGGAGGATCTTAAATCTTGTTTTCTTAACTTTGGACTAAGTAAAGTATAAATCTTCTCTGATCTTCTTTGATAGGATACAAAATCATAATTTTCTTTGATCAGTATTGAATTGATGTAAAGATTTAAATTTTAAAATTATTCATTCCTTTCTTCAAATATTATTTTTTAATGATTTACTAAAAAGGCCGTAATAACAAAATTAGTGGAAGTATATAAGGACTTTACAGATACACAAAAAATGCAAAATGGAAACATACCGAAAGCATTGCAACAAGATGAATAAAATAGAACGGAAAAGAAGAGTTTTATAACTAGAGAAGTGGCCATAAGACAGGTGAATATTCAAACATGTAACAAGATAACGAATGTAAAGAGACAGGTGACTGACAGATAAGCATACAAGTAAACAGGTGATTTATAAGTAGGTATACTGAAAGACATGAGTTACTGGTAGATATACAATCAAACGTGATTTGCTAGTGATACAAGCAGATGAGTAGCTCAATGGTAGGTATACAAGTAAGCAGGTGAATGATAGCATAATATACAAGTAAGCAGGTGAATGATAGCATAATATACAAGTAAGCAAGTGAATGATAGCATAATATACAAGTAAGCAGGTGAATGATAGTATAATATACAAGTAAGCAGGTGAATGATAGCTTAATATACAAGCAGAAGCAAGACAAATTACTGATAGATTGATATGCCAGTACTTAAGTCATTATCTGATATTTACAAGTGACCATTAGACGCGAATATAAGCAGAAAGATAACCAAACAATAAAAAAAGTAAGGAAAGAGAAACAGCAATAGATTTGGCAGCCAATGGGAGAGTCACAGACATGCAGAAACAATAGGACAAGGACATAAACACAAGGAAAATAGGACAGGAAGCAACCCCCAAAAATAGGAGACACGTACCTTCCGTGATATAGACGGTGATGGAAGCAGACTCAGTGTTGGCAGCGGCACAAGTGTAGTTTCCGGAGTCGGAAGTTCTGGCGTTATTGACACTCAGTTGGGATCGAACCCTTGGACCTGTGTCAATGTGAACGCTGACTCCACCTCGTTCCCGGTCGTAGTTGATCATGCGGGAGTTGTGATACCAGAAGATATACTGTGGAGCCACAGGACTCTGCATGGATGAAAGAGAGAGCAGTGGGTAGATGTTAGTGGTGGTGGCGGGTAGCAGTTAGTGGCGGTGGTTAGTGGTAGTGTTGGTGAGGCTGAATAAACCAAGCCGTGAAACGATGAAAAAAATAATCACTTGTGTGGTACACTAGTTTGATCTGACAGGTGTATTGGATCCATAAACCTACTCGTGTTAGGCTTGTGTAACCTGTGCCTCTCACACTGTAGGTGGAGTGGGGAGTGAGTTGAAGAGTAAAGGGGAGATGGTACAAAGAGAAGGGAGTGAGGGGTGAAGTGTAGAAGGGGGGTTAGTGAGGGATAGATGAAGGGTGAGCGGGGGGAGGGAGTGAGTGCTTGGCGAAGAAGTGAGGGATGAAGAGGTGAAGAAATGGTAGAGAGCATGCGGAGGAAGAAGCGAAGAGGTAGAAAAGAGGATGAAGAAGCGGTATTGATATCGGATGGAATTTAGGCCATAAATAGTCGTAAATAAAGGTAGATGACGGTAAGAAGGAGACCGAAGGAGCATGGAACGTTAAGGTAAGAAGGAAGGAGCATGGAACATTAAGGTAAGGAGAAGGAAAGAGCACTGGACGTTAAAGAGAGGTAATTAATGAGAGGAAAACAGGTGAAGAACGAAAGATGAGAGGGAGGAACATAAAGGCCTGATGAAAAATATTGGTAAATGGGAAGAAGATGAAAGAAGGTAGAGAGGGGAAGTAAATGTGGTAAGTGAATGATTGATGGGGGAGGTGGTGAGGGGAAAGAATGAAACAGAACGATGAGTAATAAGGAACAAGAGAGTAGCTGAGGTAAAATGGAAAAAAATTAAATGGAACATGGTGGATAGATAGAGAATTAAAAATAAGTTGTGCAAAATATATGGGATGTTTTAATTTGACAAAGAAGGAATGAATGAGAGAACTTGGGGTGTAACCTATCTGAAAATGACTCAGATAACTCTGATTTGATCCAAAGATGATGTTGGTAGCTTCAATTCCTTGGTGCAAGAGCCTTTTACCAGCATGAAGGCCCCTCCGCTGAAAGGGTAATACAAATAGACAAACTGGGTTTTCAGCTGAGACTGCTAGAATTTGGCATGACCCGGCAAGTGTCATACACCCAGGGAGTATGTAATTTACTCTGACTCTCAGTGCCAAGTGTATCATATACCCTGATGAAGAATTAGACGTATGTACAACAGACATGTACATGACACACACCTGGCACTCACGTGCCAAGTGTATCAGATATCGTGACATTCAGGGGCCTAATGTTTCCGATACCATGGCATTCAGGTGCCTAGTTATCAGATACCATGGTATTCAGGTGCCTAGTGTATCAGATACCATGGCATTCAGGTGCATCGTGTATCAGATACCATGGCATTAAGGTGCCTAGTGGATCAGATACCCTGGCATTAAGGCACCTAGTGTATCAGATACTATCAAATTCTAACGTCCATTTTGAGTTTTTCATTCACTTCTACGACACCCAGTTTACTTTTAATTCAAAAGATTAGCGCTCAGTCGCAGCTACGTAGACCTTTACCACAGCTGAGGTCATCTATACTAGAGATGTATCGGATATCCGTATCTGCATCCACATCCGCGGAACATCCGCACAATTTCTTGCATCTTCATCCGCATTTTACTGTAAACAGATATCCGCATATGCTTCCGCATCCGCAAAATAAGAAAGTAAGGCATCCTCATACACATCCGCATCCACGGATATCTAAATTTACACATCCGATACATCTCTAATCTTTACTGCTACGAACATTCAAACAACCGAATGACAAAATAACATTCTCTGACATTTTCTGGTAATACTTTTTACAGGGAAACAGAAATTATTCGCCTGTTTCATAGCTACCAGCAATTTAGTTGCCTTTTATGACACTACTGAAGGAAGGGATTACAACCCACTTTTTCCAAGTTAATTAAAAACTATTATCAAATACACAGAAGAGAAAATATACGAGTATTATTAATGTAATAGATGTTAATTATGTGTTGTTATAAACGTTAACGACATAAAATATTAAGCCATCTTCTTACAGTGATATTTTTAACTGGCTTCATTTTTAGTTATATGATAAATACAAAATATACTTGAAAAGTTGTTATTAACAAATGCACAACTTATATATATATATACGCTCATTAATATTCCCCATGGAGACAGAAACTCAGAAGATTAATTGGTCTGTATATTTCGATCCACTTCATCTGCTGAAGAGGATCCCAGATTGGGATCGAAATATGGAAGCCAATTAATCTTCCGAATTTCTGTCTCCTTGTGGATTATTTTTGAGCACTGACAAGTATTCACTACACTTAGTTTTCTATCTAATATATATATATATATATATATATATATATATATATATATATATATATATATATATATATAGAATTCGCAAGAGCAGGCGAAATATACACAAACACTGATCTCTGGCTGAAGGAGGCTCGAACCTACAAACCTTGGAACAAGGTACGCAGTGCTTTACCAATCTACCCACACTGGACCCAGGGCAGCCAGCTTTCAGGTAGAAAGGAGAAGAACCTGCGTACCTTGTTCCAAGGTTCGTAGGTTCGAGTCTCCTTCAGCCAGAGATCAGTGTCTGTGTATATTTCGCCTGCTCTTGCGAATTCCTTGCATTGTTAATATCTCTAGTAAGGCTGATGCATGCAGGGGATGAGATGAAAAGCTGTAAGCCTTCTCCCTGAAAGCTGGCTGCCTTGGGTCCAGTATGGGTAGATTGGTAAAGCACTGCGTACCTTGTTCCAAGGTTCGTAGGTTCGAGTCTCCTTCAGCCAGAGATCAGTGTATATATATATATATATATATATATATATATATATATATATATATATATATATATATATTAGATAGATAACTAAAGTGTAGTGAATACTGGGTGACAGCCTGATAAGTCCTCTGCATTATGTTCTGAAGGACTGTATTTCAACTGAACCTCTAATTATCTGGTGTCGAACATGTGTGTGGGAGGAGGCAGGTGGTACCATCCATAAATTTATGCGCAATCGATCTCGAGGTTATACTGAGAACTTGACAACTTCTCCCTTGACCAGAAGTGCGGCACTATATTTAGTTGTTACGAGAAGTCGATTAAGTATTCTTGAAATGTAATTTCGATGACGGTCAGCTAGCCAAAATAGTCCCGGAGGATTTAGCTTCTTTCACTTTTATTTAATGAATTTCTCTTTATGAAATGCAAACTCACATATCCTATATATAATATTTATAGTAATTAACCATTTGAATAAGGTCCGAGTCAGGAAACACTCGTTGTGTTTCCTGACACACCTTACCTACCCATCTATAGTCTCCCTGATTATGATAGTAGTCAGGCTTTATCCATTCCTTGAATGGAATCGATCGCGTGTTCCTAAACTGAGACTCCTTCCTCAAATTTTAGAGAATCGATCGTGTTTCCTGGAATTGTTGAGACCCCATGAAAAGTAGTGCCGAGACATCTCAAGTTAAGGACACTCTTTGAAAATTGACATCTTATTGCTCACTATACTTAGAATTATCTTAAGTGTGGAGGGGATCGATCCTGTGTCCTTGAATAGTGACAGTGTACAGCTGGACTTTGGACTGCAGAATGACTCATTCTATCATGTCCTCGATGTTATACGTATTTGGAGAATGAGAGACACTTATGTATCATTAAGGATGCATTTCCTCAATAAAGATTCCCTAATGTTGCACATGTGTCTTATTCTTCAAGTTTTCTACACTATTTACATCTTACGTATATAGACGTATCACAAGACAGACTTCCTAATTCACAATTTCACTAGAGCATGGATTGTTATTATTATATTCACAGATGCTGTTAAATCCATATTGGTCATTTAGAGCTGACTAGTTACAGGACTCGAGTTTAATTTTAATGCTATGCATTACACGTGTGTTAGTCTCCTTACAGCTGCTATTCTGTTCACTTAGCGGTAAATAGGTACCCAGGAGCTAGTTGGCTGTTGTGCCTCGCATTCTAGGAGAGAGGGCCTAAGCCTAAATAAGCTACATTTCTAGGTTTTCTTGTGTTCTTTCGATGTCTTTTATTATTTACTCTCTGGTGCTGTTAATCTGGAAAAAGGTTTTTCCCCTCATTACACAAACATAAAATAAGACGACAATATCCTTAATGCCGAGGCACTTACTCAAGCGAGACTGTTCAATGGCCTGGTTAGGTAATTATGGAAGTGATGCAGTGTCGGGAGGGGACGAGACGCATGAAGTTCGTAGCAGACACGTACATAGCGAGGTCGTTACCTCCATTACGATGTCGTTGATGAGGGTAAGCACGCAAATGGGGTATGTGTATGTGTGTGTGTCTCGTGTGTGGCTGTTCGGAGTCACCTATTTACATTTACCAATTTGAAATTACTAACTTGTAGTCTTCCGTCCATTATAAATTTTTAATATATTTTTATCAAAATTCCAATTCTTTATGATTTTCGTTAACTTGAGAAAGCCTCATCCGATCGGCTTAAAATTTTTAACACATATATAAAGTAACTAGGGAAAGATTTATGTCGTAATCTAAAACCAAGACAACAGTGCTGTTCAAGAACTATCAAAAGCCTTTTCTGTTGACTTAAAAATTTTTATACTGGTGTGTTCTATTTAGAATTGTCATTAGTGTGTAGGCTCCAATCTACAAATTTTTATACGTAATAATAATCATACATAATATTAAATCATATAACTTGCGGATGCCTCCGGTGAACGCACTGGCCTGTGAGATTTAGGACTTACTTGCCATGGGGTTGAATCCTCTCCCGATCCGTGAAACGCCTTAAATCTTAAATTTTAAATTATTTGCATTATGTTTAGGCTACGTAGGTATATATAAGTCAATTTACATTGTGAAAATGTTGACAATCATTAGTTTCTTCGCGACAACTAAAAACAAACTTTATATTTAACAGTGAGAATTATGCAGGAAAAGTATAAAATACCGACAGT